AGTTATCTGCAGAGGATGGCAGGGCTTTGCTCCAAAATCCCAAGGGTCTGCGTTGCGATTCGCCAATAGGAACCTGCCAAAGGCTCCAAACAGCATCTCTGTCTACTACAGACACTTCAAGCACCATTGGATCAGCCGGATCATATGGCCCAAGTGGCAGAGCAGCCTGCATGGCAGCCTGGTGGAGTACTACCTAAATCTTGTATATTCCCGTTCTCAGTGGCGCTAAGATTGATCATTGTGTTCAGACGATGACAGCCCATCCCTCCATGATAAATTTCCACATCAGCCTTTCATCAAATGAGTTCATCCACTGATGATTGTTGCCTGAGTGAATTATTTCATCAAAGGCTACTAAATGATGATTTTCCAATTCTGTCAGTCTTTTCACATTTATTAGCTGAATAAAGAACATCCCATCAATAACTAGGGCTATTTGACTATCCTGAAGTATATAGACCAAACCAAACTCATTGCTGTCGAATCAGATCCGACTCATAGCGATCCCTCCTTGGGTTTCCAAGGCAGTATCAAGTGCCAAAAAGCCAAGACAAATGAAATGCCTTTTTTTTTTTTTTTTTACAATTTTTGTATTAAAGAGTTAATGCTTTAGTGGTTGTTCTTTTAAAGTGTCTATTGATCTTGCTTCTATTATTATTTTATAATAATAGTGATTATTTTATTTCAGCCTTTGTGAAATGGGTCTTCATTTGCAGGTTTGTGAATTACTTCAGTCCATCTAGTCCTGTCCTTCTCAGAAGACCACCGACCATTCCTTTGGTTTTTCTTCTCTTGATCAGGTCACACTGTGAACAAGATACGGAAACACTCAGATCCAGAAGTGGCTTGTCTTGCCAGAGAAGTTTACACTGAGTGGAGAACTTTCATGGAAAAACATTTGGATAGACCTTCTATTGAAGTCCGGAGTGATCCTAAAACTGAGATGTTTAGAAAAAATGCCCAGAAGTTACTCTCAGAAGCTTTGGAATTAAAGGTAAAGTGGTTAACTAGGCTCTCTCGGTTAAAAGAACTTCCCATTTCATAGTGTTTCTGAGTTTATTCTAAGTGGTTATTCTTTCAAGATTCTGGATTAATAAGTATTGTTCTGGGAGGCAGTGTTGTACAAGGAGTACAAGCTTTGGAATTAGCAAGACTTGGCTTTAAAACTAGGCTCTAGTATGCACTAGTTGTGACACTTAAGGCAAACGCTGTAACATTTCTGAGACTTGGATCATAATTCCTACCTATGAAAGTCATTGTAGAGGTTAAATGAGCCGTTTCTGTAAAGGAATAGTATAGTGCCTAGTGATAAAAATCACTTAATAAACGTTGGTTCCCTCACATTTAAAATTTTTTCTCTTCCCACTGATGCAAAAATTCTGGGATGGACTCTGTTATGGTTTATCAATGGCAAAATAAATAGCTCTTTATTGGAAAGACTCCATTCCTTCAGTTTTTGTCAACACTCTTACCTTTACTTTTAAAGCATGAAATCAGTTGGATAGCTATTCCCTGTTGCTGTCTTAGCCAGCAGTTCCAGTGATGTTAAGCAGTTTGAGGTGCACATGCTGGAAGAAGGACTTCTGCTCATTAATAATATCCATCATCATCATCGTTATCATCATCATCAAATTGCAAGTCTTATAGGCTAATTAATACTCTAGAAAATCAGACATATAGCATCCACATTTTTTCTTCTTCCAAGGTATCCCTATGAAAGTATCCTTAAAAAATAATTTAGTATTATTGACAAAACAAGCAATTCAGAATTTTAGTGCTGGTTTACATGCCAAAACTGTTCCTGCATTCTCTGAAAAAATATTTTAACCTTTCCATCTCAATTACTCATCCATAGATCAAAGTGGTGTATTACTTACTCTTTCCAAATAAAGTTGTAGGTTTTAAGATATGTACTTATGACAGAAAATTAGAAAAATTCCAAAAGGAGAAAAGAAAAACAAAAATCATCAAACCCACTCACTACCTAGAAAGAATCTTGTTAATATTTTGGTGTGTTTCCTTTTTGGTAAATGATTCTAGCTCTTTCAATGAATACTGGGTAAGGCTATGATTACCCTAAATTTATTAAAGACCAATTATATGCCAAATGTTCTGTAAGATTTTTATTGATTATTTGAATAACATTGCAGAAAATTCACATAATTATGTTCATTTGTGTTGTCTCTCTAATCTTGATCAATATCAGTTAATGTCATTTTGTATATCCTTTTCCATATATCTTTATATTTCATGTTTATAACTTTTAATATCTATTTGATAGTCCAGTGAATTGATATGCTGTAAATTTGCTTAATTTTTCCTAAAGGAAGCATTAATAGGAATATTAAATGCTTGGAAAAGAGAAAAAAAATAGGAAGATTATAAGTCTGATTTTCCAGAGTATGGATTAGTCAACACGACTTGCTACTGATATTTTAAATAAAGTTTATTTTTTGAAATAAACCAAAATTATTACAGAAATATACAGTATGTGTATATAATGTATAGTTAATGTGGTGGTAAATACCAGTTCCCTTTGGTATCTTTTTAAGTAAATGATAATAATAACGAAGCTATGCTTGTAAGGATTAATGAGCAGTTTGCCTGCTATATTAAACTCCATAATAATTATCCTTTTAGTTTATCCATTAATTATCCTTTAAATGGCACATCAAGTGGTAAGCACTCAAGTGTTACAAAGCAAAGTTAAAAAAGTGATACATTCGTTAGTGCTTTCCAATGTAATTGGAAAAAACTATCAGATTAAGCATAGCTGAATGATTTTGTTCCCAAAGAGTAAATTTAAAAAATTAAAAATATGCATCTTACTGTTTTCCTTGGCCAAAAGAAAGAAAGAAAGAAAACAATCTGTTTTCCTTGTATAAACAGCATTTTGTAGTATTTTTATCAGTTTGGTATATCAGAAAATATAAACAGGAACACTTTTTCATAAGGTTAATTAACTCTTAGTGCCTATCATCATCAGAGACATTTCCATATTAGGGTAAATCAGTGAACCATCTAATTCAATAACTGGTCTTTGACAGTCACCAATGTTGAGTGCATTGGGATCCGACATCAGATCTCCATAAATGTACTTTATTAGGCAGTTGTACACCATTGGGTAAGTTATTGGCCCAATGACTTAAAACCCTTTACATTTTGATCCTAGCATGTGTTTTTGCAAATATCAGATCTACTCATTACATTTTTGTAGTCATATCTTTTTGTAGTGAAAGCCACAGATGAAGAATATACGGACAGCTAAAAAAATGTTGCATCTCTTTATTACCCTACAGATCTTGCTTTCCAGATTCATGGATTGTTTCCTTGTTCTTAGAATAATGGAATAGATGAATAAAAACTCCACTGTTGAATCCCAGGCTCCATTCCCCTTTACTTTCTCCCTTCTAGATCTTCTTTGTTCTTCCCTGTCTTTTAGATCTTTCCTCATATGAACATCCCCTGTGGTGTCATTCTCTTACTTCCCCTTCCTCATTATCCACTCTCCTTCCTACCTCATGGCCTGTGATCATTTTCCTATTATGTCATTTAAAAAAAATGAACCTGATTCTCAAAGTGAGCCTGTATCATTAAGAGTTATGAAACACTGGCTGGTTGGCTCAGTTGGTTGTCAGATGGTGCTAATGAGATCCAGGTCAGGGGTATGTCCCCATATGGGACTGTTAGTTTTTGCTTTGTTTAATGGCCTCACACTGCACCCCTGGCTTTGACCAGCTCTCTCATAAATGTTTTCAAGTGGTCAAAAAGGTGCGTGGGTAGATAGGTACAAATTCAGTCACACTGTTGGAAAACCCACACAAAGTTTGCTTCCAATGGATGTTCAATTCAACAGTGTTTACTGAAGATCTGCTAGGTGCCAGGTACTGTACTATGTGCCAGGGGAGAATACAAATACAAATGAGTTGCATTTCCTACCCTAAGAAAGCTTCCTGTCTCCTGGCTGAGAAGCCTGTAAATGACTGACTGAAATACAAGGTCAAATAAAGTATGTCCGGAATAGTGGTACTAGCAAGTATTATGAACACACAAAGGAAAGGAACAGTTAAATCTGATGGGAGAGTTTGGGAAGAGATAGTGGTTGAACTGACCTTTGAAGGAGGAGTAAGATTTATTATTTTTTGTTAATTTTATTTTAATTATGATTTCAGTGAAAGTTGACAGAGTAAATTCACTTTCCATATATCAGTTCACACACACTTTGTTTCCTGACATTGACTATAATTTACCCCTCCCACTTCCTCCCAGTAGTTACCTCTTCCCTGTTTCCTTCCCTCCCATGCACTCCTGCCCCATGAGCTATGTCCCTGTGCATGCACAGCCCTTCTATTCTCCCATGATTGTTCTCTCCAAGGAGTGTATCTACCTAGTGTAAATGTTCACCTCATATGCCTGTCTTTTGTTTGTCTGGAAGCCACAGGTGTGGGTTCAATTCCAGACCTGAAGGGCAGCTAGGGGCCATAGTCTCAGTGGTTCCATCAGGCTCTATCAGACCAGCAAACCTGGTCCCTTTTTTTTTTTTTCCAAATGATTTTGAGTTTTGTTCCACATTGTTCTCCCACTCTATCCAGGATCTCCTACATAGATCCCCCTCTGAGTGGTTGACAGTGGTAGCCAGGCACCATCTAGTTCTTCTGGTCTTATAGTTGTATAGGCTGAGGATCGCATGGTGTACCAGTCACTTGGACTAATTTTTTCCGTGAATCTTTGGTTTTCTTCATTCTTCTTCACTTTAAATGAGGAGAGACCCATCGTTGCATCTAGATGGCTGCTTGCAAGCTTTTAAGATCCCAGTCGCTACTCGCCAAACTAGGAGATGGAATAATGTTTTGTGTACTGTTATGCCAATTGAAGTTGATGTCCCCTGTGACTATGGTCCCAAGCCCACAGGTCCAACTACTCGCTCCCTCTGGGAAGCTGGCTGTGCCCAAGAAGGGACTACAACCTTGTCCCTTGTCAGCTCTACTATACAGCTGGGAATTCTTACAGAACATAGCAATGGACTTGTAGGTTTCTACAAGTCTGCCAACCCTATACATGGTCGGCACAGAAGGAGGAGTAAGATTTTGCTAATCGGAAAATATGCATAAAATAGAAAGATATTTCATATTTTAGCTGCTGTGTAAATGATATTTTCAGAAGAGTAGGAAAGGAGGGGGTAACCAAGGGAAGAAAGGTCATTCACTTAACAAATACCATGGAACACTTACTATGTGCCAGTTCCTATGTCAGATGTGGGGAACTTAGAAACGGATACAACATGGGGCCAGCTCTAGAAGCGCTCAAAGTCTTCTGAGAAGATAAACCTGCCCATTGAGTTGATTCCGATTCATAGCAACCCTGTAGGACAGGGTAGAACTGCCCCATATGGTTTCCAAGCCTGTAAATCTTTATGGAAGAACACTGCCTCACCTTTCTCCTGCAGAGGGCTGGTAGGTTCAAACAGCTGACCTTTTGTTAGCAGCCGAATGCTTTAACCATTATGCCACCAGAGCTCTCGTCTGAAGGTAATAGATAAATAATTAAAATACAGTGTAAGAAGTTCTTGCACTTAAGGTAAACACATAAAGAGGATCTTGTTTCTCTACTTTTAAATTGCTTACAGATGTGGCAAACATCACTAATTGATTATGACACTGTTTCCCACTAAATCCAGAGTCCCTGATGAAGGACAGCTCTAAGTGGAGCCAGTTGGTCTAGGACTGGACAACTGAGTAATACACATTCAACTCTATCTGAGAAATGTGAACTAGGAGATACCAAGAAAACAGCAGTTAATGGGAGTGCTGAAACAAGAGAGGATGTTGGAGAAATTAGGAAGCAGAATGCATGGGTAGAGAGGAGATATTTAGAATAGAGGGAGAGAAAAAAGCAGTTGCAGTTGGTAGTAAATAAGGCCCACGGAGAGGAACCAAAACATACACAAATAGTCCAGATAGACAAGAGAGACACAGAGAAAGGAACTGGCCCCTA